CTGGCCACGAAAGAACTATGGCAGGCGGGAGGCATGCGCAGCCTTTACGCCGGTACGTCGGATCCACTCTCCACCCATCGACTTGGCTAATCCGCAAAGGGAACGGTCTGAACGTGGTCAAAGTCATGCCCGAATCGGCTATCAAATTCGGAGCGTACGAGGCAAGTACATGAGCGCTGTAAAACCCAATCCATTTTCCTGACAGATGGCAGGCGGCCAAGCGTGCCTTTGCCAATGTTGAGGGTCACAATGACCCATCAAACATCCACAGCTCATCAAAATTCCTCGCTGGAGGCCTTGCAGGAATGATATCTCAGTTCGCTGTTTACCCCGTCGACACTCTGAAGTTCCGCATGCAATGTGAGACTGTCTCGGGCGGTCTTCGCGGCAACCGCCTCATCATAGCCACTGCGAAGAAGATGTGGAATCAAGGGGGGATGGTGGCCTACTACCGAGGCCTGCCCATGGGACTCATTGGCATATTTCCGTATGCCGCACTCGACCTCGGCACCTTCGAGTACCTCAAACGTGCCCTCGCTGAACGCAATGCTCGCGTGCGCGGCTGCCACGAGAGTGATGCCCAACCCGGAGGATTCGCCACGGCAGCTATAGGCGGCTTTTCTGGCGCATTTGGTGCGAGCGCTGTCTACCCGCTGAACCTGCTACGGACCCGTCTACAGAGTCAAGGTACAGTCTTGCACCCTCGGACTTATACCGGCATCATGGATGTTACTCGACAGACGATAAAGGGCGAAGGGGTGAGGGGACTTTTCAAGGGTCTCACACCAAATCTACTCAAGGTGGTACCGGCTGTGTCGATTACCTACGTCGTCTATGACAAGTCGAAGAAAGCGCTGGATCTTGTATGAAGATGTCCCTGGCAACATCACGCAATCTCGTCTGCCAATTGAGCGCCTTTTATTCCCACAGCGAGCTCCGAACCGACCTACGACCTACACTCCTCACCGTTTCCCTCCCCCTCAAGGCACGGACCACACCCACAAGTCGACATTCTCCTTGCAACCTTCGAGATACCCGTTTTTGCACATCCTTATAACGCATGGGATGATGTTTCGACTACCTACTTGCATGATAGTATTTCCTACGGCTGAGGCCTCGTTTTCATGTCTTTGCATCATTCGAATTTTGGAGCGTGGCGTTCAGATCGGGATAGATGACCACGTCGATGACGGGGACCGCCCAGACAATGGCAGGAGAGCCGGGCTAAGTCTATAGAGAAGTAAATGTAGTACTGTACGCGACAGTTGAAGAAATATATAAAACGCGCTGTGACTCTATCAGACTGTATATCTGCGATGCGATGTGGAAATAAGAGCTAATGCCAGAATATCGAACAAATATCAGCACAGGAAGCTTTCAACAATACTCGACGGTATCCCACACAATGCTCCAAAACGCCTTCTATGCATACAGCTCTTCCTCCCCCACGCCTGCCACCTCTCTCTGCGTGCACGCTACTTCGTAATGGCAATCAACAGCACCAAGATGATGATCAAGGCTATGATAACCGTCAAACTCCAATTTTCCTTCGCCTTCCTACCGATCCGATCCAGTCTCCCCCGCGCCCTCCGGAACTGCGCCTGATGCCTATCAACACCCTCCTCCACCTCGTCCAGCAACAAGACCTGCCCTTCCAACTCGTCACCAATCTGCATGCTAAGCTCCCTCTGCCTCCCGATACTCTCGCCCAGGCGATCCAGCTGGTCGTCCTGCTCGCGGATGACTTGGCTGTGGTAGGTGTGGATCTGCTGGTTGGACATGTCCTCGTGGTCGGGTGCAGAGTCCTCGGGGTTGTCGCGGTAGGGGAAGAGAGAGGCGCGATTGGGGTCGTCGTCGGAGGCGGATGCGGAGAGGGAATTTGGGTCATCGGTGAAGCGGACGGATTTCGAGATTGGGCGGGCCTTGGGCTTCTTCTGGGCGGCGGCGAAGTCGGAGTGGAGGGAGGCGTTGTTGGGGGAGGTTAGGGTTGGTGAGGTGGGCGCGGTGGTGGAGGAGAATTGCGAGGAGAGTTCGGCGAGCTGGTTGCGCATGCGGGGAAGCTGGGATGATATTGATCTGCTGCGCCGTCAGGTTTTGGGCGCAAGGCGAAGAGATGGAAGCGTACTCATCGTCTGTATCGGCGACCTGCGACTCCAGCGACTCGATGCCGGAGCGCAACTGCTCTAGCGACCGTGATATCTGGCCATCTTGCGCATTGGAGGGCAGGTTGAGTGACACGGCGCGTTGCCGCTCGAGCAGCGAGAGCTTGATGTGGTCGGCTAGCAGGAAGAGCTGTGGCGGGTTCGTCGTCATGGTGGTGGTGGTGGTGGTGGTGGTGCGACGGAGTGAGGGCTCGGGGGTGCGACGGGCGATGCAGCGGCGGTCCACAGTGACGCCAGCCGCCCGGTCCGCCGCCCGCCGCCCGCCGCTCCAGAGCTTCGTCGGGACCATTCCGACCCGCCAAGTGGAAAGGTACGGTGCTGGTGGTGCCGCATGCCTGAGATGTTTCTTGTTTGCACCACCCCGTCCGAGACCCGCGGACATGTGGTCATTCCAGCGTCTTTTATAACACCTGCCCTTGCCTGCAGCCCTCGCGGCTGTTGGAGCCACCGCCCGTTCCCTCCCCCTCGCCACGCCACGCACCCTCACCGACCCCGTCAGCCCCGGCGAACAGCGCGCGCGCGAGAGAGAGGGTGTGTGCTGTGTCTGCCATGAGTTCGCCGGAGCCTATTCCCAACCGTCGTGCGTCTCGTGCCTCGTCCAGCAGTGAGGAATCCCTTGTACACAGCAGAGAAGACGACATGAATGTCGGTGGCCCTCCCAGCAGCCCCTCGCCTCTACAGATCAGAGCAACAAACTCATTGAACTCGAAGAACCGAAAGCGTCCCATCGCCAAGCAGCCGCCCCAGATCCACCTGCTCGAGTACAGGCAAGTGCTGCCCCATCGTGTCCTTGACTGTGCTGTGCTGATTCCGCCAGGTCCACGCCCGACAGCAACCTCGTCTGCCTCATCTGCCACTCGCCGTTCGACAAGCCCGTCAAGCTCCTCTGCGACCACTACTTCTGCCACGAATGCCTCGACCACGCCTGGGACGCCCAGCAGGAGGGCGAGAAGTCCTGCCCCACCTGCCGCAGCAAGACCGACGTCCTCGCTGGCATCCGCCCTGTCCCGCGGATAATCCACAACATGCTGGACGAGCTCGTTGTCAAGTGCCCGAACTCGAAGTTCGGCTGCGAGTGGGTGGACCAGCGCGTCAATGTGCACGATCACGTTATGCTGTACTGCGAGTACACGCTCGTCGAATGCCCGTCCTATGATTGCCGGCTGCACATCTCGCAGAAGGACTTCCACAAAGGCTGTCTTCACTACACCGTGAGCTGCGACAGTTGCCACACTTCCATGATGAAGAAGGACCTTGAGGAACATCAGCGATTCACCTGTCCCGGCCGGTCCACAAACTGCCCGCACTGCTCCGCCGAGCTGCTACGCCTCGATCTCAAAGTACACATCAAGGACGTATGTGCCAAGGTCGTCGTTCCGTGCAACGGCACCATCGTAGGCTGCACTTTCACTGCCGAGCGGGCTGAAGTCGTACAACATGAGATTATTTGCGCCATGGCGACCATGGCACCGCACTTCCGAGAGCAGCAAGCCCGCATCGATCGCAACGAGGCGCGTCTGGAGCCGTTGTCCAGAAAGGTCGGCATACTCGAAGACGGACTCTCAAACATCACGAGCATGCTATATCCGGCCAACGCCAACGATTCGTCCTTCCCAGTCACCAATCCCTTGGATCCCAACACCTCCGAAGCCTTCCCTCCCGCAAGCCTCATCCCCACGCCTGACTTCCGTTTACCGCCAGCTTCATTTCCACCTGTCCCACCAAACGACGCTTCCCAAACCCCCTTCAATCACGCCACCCAACCTCCCTTCGACTCGCAAATCCACCATCTTCTTACGTTGCACGACTCGCTTCGCGAAGAGGTTTCGCGTATCACGAACGCGCTTACCGAACTCGATGGCCGCACGAACATGATGGTCATCAACGAGAGCCAACGTGTAAAAGACGAGATGCTACATACTAATGCCGCCATCAACAGTATGAGAATGCAGTTGCACTGGCTGATGAGTACGACCTTACACCAGCGCAATTCCGCCGCCGGCAGTTCGACGGCTAGGGCGAGCGCGGGTAGTACAAGTGCGAGCGGCAGCAGTGCAACGCAAGGGGCCAGTCCGAGTTTGGGGAATAGGCTAGGCTCGAGGCGGCTGAGCGATTCTACGAGACAGGACACCAAGTTGTGAGCCTCGGAAACCTTGCCCTGCAGTGTTAGCGTCCACCCTTTTTTACGCACACTCTTCTTTTGCACGGCGTTCTTGTTTTCGTTCACAAAAGTGCCTTCTTTAGCGGCGTTTGGGTCCGACGGAATGTTCAGGTTGATGGAGTTCAATAATTGGCACAGTATGATGGTGGGAGGATACGATCAGCGGACAGGAGTCCACGGCTAGTAGATCTTGATTGAGCATGACCAGACATAGGAAATACCCCCTTTTACATAGTATTCATTTAACGGTTGGCTGCATGCACGGGGCACTTCGATGGGCGGTGGAAGATGGTGATCAAGATTAAAAGTGTCATGAAGTATGTAGCTTGCTTGTTCATTACGAAAGTAGCATTGCAAAATATAATGCTGTCTCTGGATTAATGTAGAGCACTTGCACTTGAAAGGGGGATGTGTATTGTGGAGTGATCTTTCTGGATCCTCGCGTTGATCTCCCAGATTCACTCGATCAAACATACCTCGGCTGGCCCCACCCTAATCCCAACATTCCGGTTTGCTTGCTACCCCACCCACACCTTCTAGTCCGTTAGCGGCTAGCTAAGACAGCCCACTTTCCTTCCCACTCAGCTTTTTTGAAAAAAGCCACCACATCACTCGTCTTTCTAGTAGGATAAGTATTTTCCCAAATGCAAAATCTTTCGTCAATGACTCAAATCAAGGGGCCGGTAACTCAGTGGTAGAGTGTAGGACTGCAGTACATTAAACCGTCTTCCCGAAGTCACCGGTTCGACTCCGGTTCGGCCCTTATTTTTTTTCTTTTTGTTGCTTCTTCTAGCATATAAGGATTTTTTTTGCTCTTGTAATTAATGGTGAGGAATAAGACGGAGTATTGTCGTTTAGGGGAAAATATAATCTGATATCGCAGCCATGGGGTTTTTGAAATGATAGAAAGTAAATGCGCTTACACACATTTTATTGCTATTTTACACATGTTCCTTGCGTACGCTAACTACAGCGTTCCTCACAAGCACACATACTCAGTTGTATTGTACAACATCGTACATATATACATACATACTACACAGTCCCATCAAGGCTCTTATTTCCGCTCACTTAATCTGCCCCACGGACTATCCTTGCTCAACGTCCTCCCTGCGACCTTGACCTTGACCTTGGTGAACAAATCCTGCGACGGCATGCTCTCTGCTGGATACTGCTCGTCGTCCAAGAAGCTCAATCCTTCCCTATCTTCCTCACTCGTCATAGTATGTCGTACCTCTTTCTTTTTGATCGAGTTAGAATGCCCTTTCTGTTCCGGTGCTTGCTTCCCCGGGTCCGCGACCGTCTCGCTGACTACCTGCCCCTTTGTACTATGATGGCTCTTCGCGAATCTGAGTCTGTGCTCTATGTACGGTGTTTTGGTATACTGCCGCATTTCTTCCTCTTTAATGCGCTTTTGACCTATGGCCGGTTTGACGAAATCGTGGAATTCCTTCTCGTCTCCTTTATCAATACCCTTATACCTGACGTCCCAAGCACAGGGTAACATTCCCGAGGGGGCAATTTCCGGCGATCTAACTAACCGTACATCGAGGGTGGGGAGGGCCAGTAATTGTTCTTCGTATTTGGGTACGCTATCGTCGGGGGTGGAGGTAGAAGGTAGGGGTTTTCGCAGGAAGAGCGCGGGAAGACATCGTCGGAGGGTCGCGGGTTGAACTAGGCCCCAGGCGATTCGTATGTACCTGTACCCTGGGGCTCGTTCTGAGTAGGGATTTTTGGTGCTGGTTTTGTTCGTCGATGTGAGCTTGTCGTACTCCATACGGGACAAGTGCCGGAGGACGATATCATAGTAGGTATTGTTCTTGACGCGGAACCAAAAGCGGCCATCGAAGAGGCGCCATTGCAATTCTTTCGTGTCTTGAACTGTGGATACGGGGTTTGGTGTAGATGCAGTAGTAGAAGTCTGCGCTGACGGGAAAACGATGCACGGGTTGTCTGAACTCTGTGGTGTTTCTCGTGATAGCAACCAGTCGACCCCTTTCTCTTCCTCGCTGAACAGTGGCGGCCCTTCCCACTTTCTCCACCACACTTTGGCGGCGCAAAAGGTTTGTTTCTCGATGACGTCCTTGGCGATGGTATCCTCCCCATCCACGTACAGCTCAGGGAAGACTTGAGGGACGGCGTTGGACATGGTGCTGATGTCTGCTTTCTCTTGGGGACTGATCAGCTCGGCCAGCCTAGTCAAAAGTATTTGGGCATGTTCTTTAGCTCTGATCAACTTTTTTCGAGCGCCGTCACTTTTCATTTGAGTAGGGAGAGGTGCATCGAGGAGAGAGTTGGCCGGCGGGATGCGCACAGTGAGAGAACCGGTTTGGATGTCGAGCTTGAACTTGGTCTGATTGAAGAGGTGCTCCGCAAAAGCATTGCGTTCTTGGACACGCTTTTGCATACGTCCTGAGAGTTGTATCAGGGACGGCGTTGATATGGCTTCTGGGAGCTTGTGATGTTGTATAATGTGTCGGATTGCGTTGCGCGGCGTGAGCGTCCTGTCCTGGTTGGTCTTGTCCTCTGCCCAAGAAGTGCCATGCTCCTCACACGTCGCCACAAGCCTGCTCTTTTCGAAGCTCAGCAACGGCCTCAGAATCTGTATCCCACCCCTCTCTATATCAAACGGCATATCATGTTCCGGCTCATCCCTGCTAGTTCTAGACTGGTAATTCCTCTTGTATCCCTCATGGCTACCTATTTGGACATATTTATCCAGGTCGCCGCTGTTGTGTAGGCCATGCATGCCGTAGCATCCAGGCAGTGCCACTGCCTTCTGCATGCCTTGCAGCCCTGTCCGCAATCGGTTGTTCATGAGGCGCATCATGATGGTCTCGGCCTGGTCGTCGGCGTGATGGGCTACCATCAGGCTCTTGATCCCTTTTTCTCTGCACGCTTTGCCGAGGGCTTGATAGCGCAGGCTGCGGGCGTCGGATTCGAAGCGGTTTGGGTCGGCGTCTGCGGGCCATGCGAGGGCGATTACAGTCGCTTCCATGCCCACTACAGGTTGTCAATATTAAGTCACATGGCGTATTGTGCAGGACGTACGCTTCAGGCGCAATTGCTGGGCAACCCATTCCGCCTCCTCCGTGCTCTCTGGCCTGGCCTTATGGTCTATGATGAAGCCATGACACTCGTGAAAATACGGTAAGACGCCGTTCGTCGTGCCAACCCCTCTCATATACAAAGTCGCCAGGGCCATCGAATCTACGCCACCACTGACCGCAAGACCGATCCTTTTGGCCGTCTTGTTGACGTTTTTGTGCGAAACGTCCATGAGGGCGTTTTTAAACTCCAGATGGCTGATCGGCAGCGCCTTGACCTTCTCCCCCGCGCTCTCCTGCCCCTCCTCGCTGTACCATCTCTTTGCTATCCTCAAGCCACGGTGGATGGGAACAGGGAAGGAGCAGCTCCCCCCACCGAGGACATTGCTTCTCCACATGTACGAGGCCGTGGCATTGGCCCAACACTCACAGTACTCGAAAGGAAAGGAAAGACGAGAACAATATAGGTCGTCGCGTATCAAGTGATGTCGGTGTCGCGCGTCGTTGTTCCGAGGTTACCATCTCGGAGGTGCGCTTGGGCCATGCTCGTGTTCTCGAATTTTCTAGGAACTTAGTTTTCACGATTATCTCTCGTCGACTCCTTCGTTCATATTCATCCATCGTCCCCTCAATCCCATACCCTTGATCCACTTCTAGATACCCTTTCCTCCCGTCCTCCAACTCACCACACAACCACCACAATGGTCAGTATATACAAAGCGCGCCTTGCCCCGCCGCAACATCCCAGCTGACCACGTAACGTGACAGTCTGCTATCAAGTCAATCCGTAGCATTGCGCCCCTCCTCGACCGCATCCTCGTGCAGCGCATCAAGCCCGAGGCGAAGACGGCGACCGGAATCTTCCTGCCCGACAGCGCCGTCAAGGAACTGAACGAGGCCAAGGTGCTAGCTGTCGGTCCTGGTGCGCTGGACAAGACGGGCAACAGGGTCTCGGTCAGCGTTGCTGTAGGCGACAAGGTCTTGATTCCCCAGGTACGTCAATTTCCCTAGGTGGCAAGAGCTGTGCCGTTTGGAAAGAGCGTCTGTCCCTCGGAGGCAAGAGCTGTGCCGTTTAGAAAGAGCGTCTGTCCCTCGGAGGCAAGAGCTGTGCCGTTTGGAAAGAGCGTCTGTCCCTCGCAGGCAAGAGCTGTGCCGCTTGGAAAGAGCGTCTGTCCCTCGGAGGCAACCATGGCTGACAATGCGGCAGTACGGCGGCAGCCCCCTCAAGGTCGGCGAAGAAGAGTTCTCGCTGTTCCGCGACCATGAGTACGTCCTCCCTCACCCTCTCCCAAACACCCCCACAACAGATCGCTAACCCACACTCACAGGCTCCTCGCCAAGATCAACGAGTAAACGAGCCCCATCTATAGCTCTCACGGAATCGAACACGACCGCCCATGTATCTCTATGTAACAACAAGCGCCCATAACCCCATTCCCACCGTCGTCCGCTGCCATCACCGGCCAGCCTTCATTGTGGGCATGATATCATGTGTATTTGAATGTATTTTGAAAGCGTCTTCATTGGTTTCTATGTCTGTAGTTATTACAACGATATAGGAGAGGGGTTGGGGGAAGGATCGTCAAGGGAAAAATTGAATACAATTACATCTCTGCTCTATTCATGGGAAGAAGGGACTTTGCCGTATATCCCCCCGTTCAACTAATAAACTACATAACTAGTCATCAGACTGCCCACCACATTGCGCCTACCATCCTGCGTTTCCACCGCCCTGGCCCCACGGCCTGCCACCACCAGGCGGTCCTTGATCGTACCCACCATATCCGCCACCATACCCTCCATACGGAGGCTGCTGATGCGGCGGTGGTTGTTGATACCCACCCTGCTGCTCGCCATAATTCTCGTACCCCTGCTGATAGGCGGTGGGCATCGCATATGCCGGCTCCGCACCATGCCCTCCCGAATACTGACCAGGGCCCCACGCAGGTCCGCCAGCTGGCTGAGGGGCATTGTACTCGGGACGCTGGTCATATCCTCCTCCCCCTCCTCCGCCGGCATATGAAGACTGGTACGGTTGGAAAGAGCCCCAATCGTGCGTAGGTTGTGGGGAGGGAGAGGCCTGATATGGAGCTCCGCCGTGGGAGCCTGCGGAATGCGGACCGTCGTCGACGCCGGGGTTTTCGCGCTTTTGGCTGAAGAGGTTGAGTCCACTACCGGCTATCTTTCCAAGGCCACCGGGGAGGTTGCCTGCGAGACTGCCGAGGAGTCCGCCCGCGCCGCTGCTGCTTCCGCCTCCATGACCGCCTCCACCGCCTCCACCTCCGCCACCGTGGCTGTGACCTCCGCCATGACTGTGGCTTTGGAAAGAAGAGGTACCCGATGCACCGTGTCCGTGCCCTTGAGAAAGATCGTTCGAAGTCTTGTGATTCTTACCCGCGCGGACCGATTCGGAACCCAGAACATGGTTCAGATTCTCGCCACGATAGTTGTGGGCCCATTTCTCGACGACAGCGAACATGTTTCGGTGGATTTCGTTGTTCTGGTTACGGATCGCGGGATGGTGGAATACAGACATGCAATCGTTGAGAACTTGGTCGACGGGGATGTCTGGGTGATCCCAAGCATAAACAACGCGCGGGGCGACGTACTGCAGGATGACGACGGCGACCTGTCCAGCTGGTTGGTTGAGGATGTTGGAGAAGTGGTCCTTGGAAAGCATACTGTGGGTTGGATCGGTGGAGTGGGAGTTCGTCCA